GTCTATTTTAGAGATGAAGGGGGGTATTGGGCTGGTGGGTAGCGGGCTTGGGCGAATGGAAGGAAAATGGGCCACTTGAAGCACCTGGCCCAAAGCTGTAATGAGACCCCATAGCCTTCTCTTTTCTTTCTTTGTATTTTGCAAGACTAATCAATTTATTTAACACTCCTAATTCCAACTAATTTGCAAAATTAACCTAATAACCTATTTTTCTACAATTAACTAATTCAATTAGCTAACAAATGCATGTAGACTAATGTATTTTTTGGTATTTTAGTGTTTTACAAATGCAATTAATTATGCAATTAAAATCTAAAAAATGTAAAAATTAAAAATATTTTTGTATTTTCTTTAGGATTTAAAACGCAACTTAAAAATGCATCAAACATGAATACGTACAAAGCAAACTAAGTAAAAATATAGAAAAATAATTTAAAGCTATTTTTTGTATTTTTTAGAAGTAATTTTATATTAGGGTAAAAATTAGGTGGTCACAAATTTATTCGGCCAAGGCTCAGTAATTTTATGGTGACAGGTTTACCTGATCCAACAAATTCCTTCTGATTTCCTTGAAGAGTTGATGCAGAAGTGTCCAGATGATAACAGCACCATCAACAACATGTTCAACAAACATACAGCTAGGGGTCTGAGTGAGTCTGCTATGTCATACTCCCAGGGACTGTCAGCGCTTTCCTCGGTTGGAACTTCATTTGATAATCACTACTACAAGACTTTGATGAGAGGACGAGGGCTGCTGTTTGCTGATCAACAGTTGATGGCTAATGAAAAGACAGCAGCGGTGGTGATGGATTATTAATATGAAAAGATTGAGTTAGCACATGCCATGGCTAAATTGTCAAATATTGGTATTCTTACTGGATCCCAAGGAGAAGTTCGGCACAGTTGCTCCCATCTCAATTCTGATCAATGACAACTACCTGGGAGGAGTAGACTAGTTAGTTATTCATGACTTTTCCTAGTGTCTGATTTAGGTGGCATTCAGTGAAATTTTCTCTTTGGATACTAATGGATCTAGTTACGATCACTGATTGACTTAACAAAGTTTCTCATGCTTGCAGCTTTACGTACACATATGTGAGCCAATATAATATTCTGCTTTTAAGGTACGGATACTACTATTATATGTTAGTATCTTATATCATCGTGCTGCAAGAAATAGGGTTCAAATCAAGATGAAATTCAAGATTTTATCCAGAATTTTTAAATTTCTGGAAACATTGCTGGGCGAGTATCACCATTATCGGTTGTGGAAAAATAATTGTAATATTTATGGAAACCCTTCCTTTTCCCTGGAAGTAGTTCCGACGCAAAAATCGAACCAGTTCGTTCATGCTATCTTTTTCCTAAAATCATGCCGCACATTGAAAAAGAAAAAAAGAAGGGAAGGTTTATTTCTTGAAGATGTTAATAGAAGGTTTAATTCTTGAAGATGTTAATATCATGCATAAACAAGAGAATCATATACATGGAAACTATAGACATCATCATAAAAAAAAGATTATCAATTTCGTTTCTCTTAATTTCTTAGGTGGTCGGCGAATATGAAACATGGAATTATAATAACTCTAGTTTTCAAAGAAAGATTTCCAACGCAACATAGATGAAACTAAATAATATATTTAGCATGAGCAAACTTTGTTTTGCAAACAAGAACAGAAAGAAAGTAAAAAAACATACATACATGTTACTCCTTTAATTTGTTCTAAGCTAGCAGTAGTAGATCAATATGCATAATATAATGTTCATTCACTGATCAAAATCACATGTAAGAGGTACGGGATCGGGTTGTAGACTGATCATCGATAATAATAACCATCTATGTCTCGGTCCCGTATGCCCCTCAGATGTAGCTTCAAACAATGAAGTTCTTCTTCCTTTTCTCTCTAGGCAAACTCTGCTAATCAATATATACTACTAGGGTTAAAATCACTATCCCTATATATATAAAACTACCACCGCCTAATACATGGTAGCGTTTCTTTTCTGGAAACTATTAATACTTGTGACGTAGCACCTTCCATATTTATATACTGCCAGCCTCAGTCTATCAAACAACTCAGCCTTAATACAAAACTAGTTCGATATTTCAAGCTTCTAACTTTTCTTTGAACTACTCGGATTGTACACTGTATAGTGTATATAAATTATATCAAAAAATGGAAAAAAAGGAAAATTATAACAATTTCCGACATAAGGAATGGTTGTTTAGAGTATTTCATTATTTGAAGGGGGAAATAAATTGTTCAACTTGATAATTTGAAGGTATCTTTTTTATTTGGCCCAACATAAATCAGAAAAATCTCAAACAAATTAAAATTGACATAATTGTGCAGGCAATTGTATTGTGAATGCAAATACTAGTCGAGCTAATTAACATATACACCACAAATTAAACAAGTTACAAAAGCATATTAGAAAAGAAAGAAAATTAAATGTCATTATTAGTTCTCATAAACCTAACTGGAATTCAAAAACAATACATTCATTTGTATGCCGGAGGGTCATATAACTAATAGGGTAAAATTGGTTTATAATCAGTGGCGGAGGCAGGATTTTCTCTAATGAGGTTGAAAAAAAGTTTAAAAAGATTGTAGCTAGTTATAATTAAAAACATAATATATAGAGGTAAAACACATATTTTGCTTTATATATATAGTGTAATTTTTCGGCGAAGGGGGTTCGGGCGAACCCCCTTCCGCCCCTATTTATAACATATAGTCGAATGGTAACATGACACATGGAATCGAAGATATGCAAAAGGCAATACCGGATACAACAAATGTAATCAGCACCAGGTAAATCCCGAAGGGAGCGTAGTCAACGGGGGAAGATCGAGGATTTACCATCAGATAGCATTCAATGAGGGAATATTCTTTAACATTAAATGAGCGACCGTTGCAGAGAATATTTGCATTCATGGTCCGTCGTTACATGTTGATCAATGATTCTTTTATTATCATTTAAGAGAAGCTTGATCCTAGGGTCTTTGTTTCGTCCCTAGGTAAAGCTATAAATAGCAGGCTCTGCAACCATTGTAGAGAGAGAAATTTTTCTGCATACCAAAGCTTTATTTTACTACTTTCACTCTCAATTTAAGAATTTTATTTGCATCTTGTCGATATTTCCATTTTTGCTTTCGGAGGCACTGCGTTCGGAGCCAAGCTTGTCATCTTATTCAATTTCAATTGCTAATCTTAATATTAGTTTTATCTCTTTATCATTTCTTGGATCAAATCAATTCGCTTATCTATTAACCACGTAACAAATTCAATTGTACCTTTTTACGGATAAACAAACATATACAATAATTAATATTTAATAGAGTTTTACAGGTAAACAAACATATACAACAATTAATATTTAATAGATAGAGACAGTTGTAAATGCTTGAATTATAAAGAAGAAGATAAGGAATTGAAAAGAAGTGATTAACCAAAGCAAATGCTATGAGCAAACTAAATATTGTGGATGAGAGGTATTCTATAAGGACAAAAGACTTATTTATGGCAACGAAGTTAGAGCCGTTGGAGGTCTAAAGTCTAAACCATTTTCTTGTAGTATGCTAAATCTTCTTAATTTTTTTTCTCCACATTCTAGCTATTAGCTGGTTTGAATGTCGGAGGGAATCAATTAAGTCATAATTGTATTGATTTCATATTGGCTCTATGTTTGCACTCTATAGGTTTGTTCCCTCACTCATAAAAAAAAATTGCTACTTAAATCTTTGTATGATTTGATCATTTAATGAAAACTCACTTATAACCGATTTACATGATAATGTCTTCATTCTTTTTGACCTCTACCAATTGAGTGATGAATTGGACAACCCCTTCGGTTCTCTATCGCATCAAATTGACGAATTCATTCTGTTATGTAAAAGCAGTGAAGGTGGTGATGCTCAAACACCAAATGGGACCGAGAAGCAAAATTAGTAATTTTCTTTGTATTCTCAAAAAAGAAAAGCAAATTTACGAGGTTTCAAGAGCGTGGTAGCTCGATCCTCGGTAGAGTGGCGAATTAAGTTGTGCACGAATTGTTTAGGCGAAAAGGGTTTTATAAATATATATTTTTTTTGATAGAAAGTATTTTTATCCAGCTTAATACACTTATAGTCTGTTTGACCAAGCTTCTCCTAGTTCAAAAGCATTTATTTTTCAAAAAAAAATATTTTTTTCAAATTTGAAGTGCTTGGCCAAACTTTTAGAAGAAAAAAAGTGTTTTGAGGAGAAGCAGAAAAAGTAGCTTCTCTAGAAGCACTTTTGAAAAAACTATACTTAAAAATATTTTTTAAAAACTTGGTCAAATATTAATTGCTACTTAGAAGTACTATTTAAATTAATTAGCTAAATACAAACTATTTCTCACTAAAAATACTTCTCAAAGTAAGTTAAATTTTCCAGTTTGGTTAAACGGGCTATTATAACCACTTACGCGACGTGAATTTAAATTTACACCAAAAAAGAATGATAATATCACAACAAGCAATCCTGACTCGTGAAATATAACTTGCCTTCTTTGAACTTAACCGTCCATCTGTCACCTTTTATATATTAGCTATTTTTTAAGTATTATTTTTCAGAGTATCAGTTTTTTATTATTTTACACTTCAACACATATACACGTGTCCCCCATTACAGAACTTTCCTAATTCCTCCTAAATCCCTTCCATTTCTCCGTTCCCCCTTCAGGTTCCTTACAATTCTGATCGACCTTGCTCTCAATTGAGTCATTGAATTCGGATACTCACTCTCAATGTATCCAATTCTATCAAAATCTTGGCCCAAAAAAAAAGAAGAAATGCTATTTGTTATACGGTTATATTCCATCTTCTGTTTCAAACCCTGGCGCGCGCGAGCTAGTTTTCTGTGTTATATATAGCGGTGTAGATTAGAAAGCAAGTCATGTGTCAATTACTCACCGGCGCTTTCCCAATTTTCACTTTCTGTTAAGTCGTCATTTTCCATTACTCTCTTTTCAAAATGGTAAACAAGAACTGGGCTTTAATGGCGGTTTTCTCATTCTTGGTTGCCAGCGTTGTGACAACAATGGCAGCGCAAACAGAATCTGCCCCTGGTAATGCTTCTCAATTTCGTACGCCCCTTCGATATGATTATTATGAGGAGAAATGTGGGAATGTTGAGAACTTTGCGAGGAGAATGATGCTGAGAATTGTTCAGCTGCAACACAACGCCCCAGCACAACTCTTACGCCTTCTCTTCCATGATTGTTTCATTCGGGTACGTCTACTCTCCATTTTCTGAATCCTTTGATTAAGTATATTCAATTTCTTATTTTGTCATTTTTTACTGTTTTACTGATTCTTGATATGTGCATCGTTCATGAGTTCTTTTTACTGGGTTTTGTGGAACTGTAAATTATTAAAAGAGACTAACGTCTTATGCTGTGTACTCTATTGTTGCATTAATGTTGTTTCACTTTTAATATTTGGAAGCAACTCCAATTCGTATTATCAAGAAAATGACGATAATTGATCTATTTTGTGTCGTTCCTTCTGTTATTTGATGCTGCTCTTAGTTTTTTTAGGTTCTACAATCTCAAGTGCATGTGACCTCGATACACAAAATATTTATAGTATTTTCACGGTTTGTCACTATTATTCCTCTGTTACACGTTCCATGCGTGTATCGATTGTGAATTCATTTTCTGTATTTCTCTTATAGATTTGTAGACATTTCTTTTATAATTGGGTCAGTTCCTGTTATCCTCCCAATTTTTAGAAGTGTGTCAAATTATTTGCTCTATACAGACTTTTTGTACTGGTCTTGTCCATGTAGATATATATTGACAATACTTGGTGGATTTTGTATTTCTTATTTGCATTGGTTCCTGATGCGCGCACGTGCAAATGTATTTCTTTGATGTACTTGTGGATGCTTCTCTCTTAATAATTAGCCGCGTATCTTGATTCGTGCATTGTGCACATGTTATTCTTCATATGTTGTCATGTGTCTTTGTGCCTTGTGTTCGTCGTTTGATTTAGATGGAGGTTTTACCTGATCTTGGATCAGTTGCTTTCTCAGTTTTATGTTTATTGAGTTCCGAATATTTTTTAATGTATATTTACCTGTAGTTATATCCCTCTATGTATGTATCCTTTGGGTAATAAAAAGAGGGCGGGATGGTATTACTTCTGAAATAGAGGTGAGCTTTTAGAGTCCTAAGGGAGTCGAGAAATGATATTTAGCAAAGGAGCTCACACTGATTATGAAAACAATTCCAGACAATGAATTTTTTTCTTTTCTTTTTGGATAAGGCAGAGTTTCCAGACAGTGAAGTTTCTGTTTCATTGATTTCAGGGTTGTGATGCATCTGTTCTGCTAGCTGACAGTAATAACGAGAATGGGACTGTTGAACGTGACGCCATCCCAAATAGGACATTGAAAGGCTTTGATTTCATTGATATGATATAAGATGAGATTGATGAGGCATGCCCTGGGGTTGTTTCTTGTTCTGATATCCTTGTCCTTGCAACAAGAGATGGCATCGTTCTGGTATGAATTTCTCCATATCCTTTGTTTCTTATAATCCAGCACCTTAAGTTTTTTGCTGATTTCTTCATTCTTACTCTTAGTACTTAATTTCTATTTTACATGGATCTGTTCTGTGTTCCTGTTCAAGGAGCAATTGGAGAATAGAATTTGGCGTGAAATGGATGTAACTCATGCACTAGCATGCAATCCATCTTTCTTGAAATAGTTTAGTTAAACGATCCTAGTGTATATTCAGATATTTAATACATAACAAAACATTTTACACCTTCTAGTGGTATCATTTACATGTCAACAGGGCATTGTTCAGAAAATATGGGAATATTCTTAAACAGTGCATTAGGGTATCTTCTATAGCTTTGCGGACTAAATTGGCATTTCAACTCCAAGTATTATATCTTTGAAGTAGTTTAGTTGAATGATCTTGTAGTGCATATTCAGATATTTAGTACATAATAGAACATTTTACACCTCTTAGAGGTATCATATATATGTTAACAGGGTACAATTCTGAAAATATGGTACAATATTTATAAACAGTGCATTTTGATATCTTCTAGTTTTGCGAACAAATTGGCACTTTATCGTCAAGTATTATATCTTTAAGCTTTAGTATAAAAAAGTATTATATCTTTAAGCTTTCCCTTTCACATGCTGCTTTTGTACATTTTAGGCTGGTGGTCTATATTATCCTGTGCTTACGGGCAGAAGGGACAGTAAGGAATCATTCTTTGATGAGGCAATGGCTGAAATTCCACGACCAAATGGGAATATCTCTGAAACTCTTAGGCTGTTTTCGCTCAGAGGATTTGATGAGAGGGAAACAGTGGCACTACTTGGTAATCTTCTAATCCTATACTTTAATTTTCATATGTTGGAGTCTGCATCCTTTTTTGGAACACATGTACATCTTTTGAAATTTCTCTTCTGTTTATTTTCTTCATCATCTGAAGGAGGACATAACATCGGGAAGATTGGTTGTGAATTCATTCGGCCAAGGCTCAGTAATTTCATGGGGACAGGTTTACCTGATCCAACGATTCCTTCTGATTTTCTTGAAGAGTTGATACAGAAGTGTCCAGACGATAACAGCACCATCAACAATATGTTCAACGAACATACAGCGAGGGGTCTGAGTGAGTCTGCTATATCATACTCCCAGAGACTGTCAGCGCTTTCCTCGGTTGGAACTTCATTTGACAAGAGGACGAGGGCTGCTGTTTGCTGATCAACAGTTGATGGCTAATGAAAAGACGGCAGCGGTGGTGATGGATTATGCTTTGGATGAGGGGGCTATATTTAGGACTGAGTTTGCTCATGCCATGGATAAACTGTCAAATATTGGCGTTCTTACTGGATTCCAAGGAGAAGTTCGGCACAGTTGCTCCCATCTCAATTCTGATCAATGAGAACTATCGTTAGGAGTGGCCTAGTTATTAATCACTTTTCATAGTGCCTAATTTAGGGAAAACTTGGCCGGCATATAGTGAGTGAATTGTTTCCTTTGGATGCTAATGATCTAGCTACAATGACTAACTGATCGAACAAAGTTTCTCATGCTTGCATCTTTTGTACGTACAAATATGTGTGCCAATATAATATCCTGCTTTGAATTGGGAATTGCCTTCTACAGTAATAATTATGGTATATGATCTTGTATCATCTAACTGCAAGGAAAAGGGTTCAAATCAAGAAGAAACTCAAGAAATATATCAAGATTATTTCTGTTAAATTTCTGGGAGCATTAATTGTTGAGCGTGTTTCACCTTTTTCGATTGTAAAAAATAACTGTAGCATGTATGAAAACCTTTTTCTCCCCTAAAGTAATTACAATGCCAATATATACATATAGGAAATTGAACCGGTTAGTACTTGCTATTTTATCTTAAAAACTTGCCGCAAACTTAAAAAAAAAAAGAAGGGGAATTGAAGGTTCAAATCTTGAAGATAGCTGTTAATTATAACATGATGCATAAACAAGAGAATCATATGCAGAAGTATTATAAACATGACAAGTTAAAAAAACTATAATTCCAAGATTTCGTTTCTTTTGAGTTCTTCATGTAACCCCGAACTACCCAAATCATCAACGGTCGACAAAGAAACATGAAATTCAAAGGTTTAAAGAAGTGATATCTTCAACAAATGATACGTGAAACTACATATCTAGAATGAGCGAACTTTGTTTTGCAAAAAAGAAGAGAAAGAAGGTAAAAAACAATACTTGTTGCTCATTTGTGATCAATAGACGTAATGTTCATTCACAGATTGAAATCACATCGAAGAGGCAAGGGGTTGTTAGACGGATGATAATCATCTATGCCTCAATCCCTTACGCCCCTTCGATGTAGTTTCAAACAGTGAAGTTGTTCATATCTCGCTTCTTCAGTTTTTCTCTAGGGCAAAGAACAGGTTCCTTCTTTTTGTCTAAAGGCTAATCAATATACCTTATCTATATATAAGAACTACCAACTCTTTCTAGTTCTAGGTTACAGGCTGCAATAAACTATCAAAGTATCGTGTAATTATTATTATTATTATTATTAGGCACGATTTCTGCCGAGGTCGTA